TCAAACGAAGCAGTGGGAGTCAAGAAGGAACAAATAAATCTGTAGTGGTTGTGAACAGTTAGTTATCAACAGCACTGCATTTGTACCAGCCTGTTTTGGTTTCTTAAGGTGGAAGTTTACATCGTTTTATCTGAGACCTTTCTTCTTTTCTAATGTGTTTAATTCTATACATTTCTTTTAAAATTTGCACCAATCACATAGGATCTATAAGTTTCTGTCTAAGCATTCCTTTAGCTGCATCCCACAAATTCTGATACGTAATGGTTTTCATTCTACTCAAAATATTTTATAATTGCCTTTATGATTTGTTCATTGACCCATGTTTTGTTCAGAAGTATGTTTTTATTTTATTTTTTATTATTTTTTTTGAGACAGAGCCCCTCTCTGTCACCGGGCAGGAGTGCAGTGGCGCAATGTTGGCTCGCTGCAACCTCTGCCTCCCGGGTTCAAGCAATTCTCCTGCTTCAGTCTCCCAAGTAGCTGGTACTACAGGCATGCGCCACCATGCCCAGCTAATTTTTGTATTTTTTGTAGTGATGGGGTTTCACCATGTTGGCCAGGATGGTCTTGATCTCCTGACCTCGTGATCTGCCTGCCTCGGCCTCCCAAAGTGCTGGGATTAAGGTGCGAGCCACCGTGCTCAGCCTATTTTATTTTTTTAGACAGAGTCTCTCTCTACGCCCAGGCTGGAGTGCAGTGGCACGATCTCAGTTCACTGCAACCTCTGCCTCCCGGGTTCAAGTGATTCTCCTGCCTCAGCCTTCTGAGTAGCTGGGATTACACGTGCACGCCACCATGCCCTGCTAATGTTTGTATTTTAGTAGAGATGGTGTTGCCCAGGCTGGTCTTGAACTCCTGAGCTTGGGCAGTCTACGCGCTTCAGCCTCCCAAAGTGCTTGGGTTAAGGCGTGAGCCACCACGCCCAGCCGAAACTTCTAAATGTAACTATGGATTGGTATATTTCTTTCAATTTCTACTTTATGTATTTTGAGCTCTGTTGTTAAAGTATTTACCATTTAGCACTGTTATTTCTAATTGTTGAATTAATGCCACCGTCGTCATCATCAGCATCATCATCTCCCTCTTTGTTGTTACTGATACTCCTTGTTGTGAAGCAAATTTTGTCTTATACTGAGAGCCACCTAGCCTTTTTTGATTAGTGTGTACAAGGAATATGGCTTCCCAACCTTTCTTTTTAACCTCTTTATCATCTCTTGTAGCTTAGGAGCTCTTGCTTTTTTAAAGACCAGTCTGACCTTCTCTGCTAATAATTGTAGTATTTACACTCTTTCCCTTTAATGTAATTATTGATCTGTTTGGGTTTAAACATACCATCTTGCATTTTTTCTCCTATTTTTCCCATCTGTTATTTGTTACTCTTTTAAATGAATTTTTTTTGAAATGGGGTCTCACTCTGTCATCCAGGCTGGAGTGCAGTGGCGCGTGATCTCTGCTCACTGCAAGCTCCATCTCCCAGGTTCATGCCATTCTCCCACCTCAGCCTCCCGAGTAGCTGGGACTATAGGCACCCGCACCATGCCTGGCTAATTTTGTTTTTGTATTTTTAGTAGAGACGGAGTTTCATTGTGTTAGCCAGGATGATCTCGATCTCCTGACCTCATGATCTGCCCTCCTCAGCCTCCCAAAGTGCTGGGATTACAGGTGTGAGCCACCATGCCCGTCCAATGAATTGAATATTTTAAGTGGCTGGGCGTGGTGGCTCTCGCCTGTAACCCTAGCACTTAGGGAGGCTGAGGCGGGCGGATTACCCAAGCTCAGGAGTTCGAGACCAGCCTGAGCAACACGAAGAAACCCCATCTCTACTAAAATGCAAACATTAGCTGGGTGTGGTGGCATGTGCCTGTAATCCCAGCTACTCGGGAGGCTGAGGCAGGAGAATTGCTTGAACCCAGGAGGCGGAGGTTGCAGTGAGCTGAGATGCGCCACTGCACTCGGGGTAACAGAGCGAGACTCCATCTCCAAAAAAATTTTTTTTAAAAATGAATATTTTTTTATCCATGTGTTGGTCAGGAGTATGTTTTTATTTTATTTTATTATTATTATTTTTTGAGACAGAGTCTCACTCTGCGCCCAGGCTGGAGTGCAGTAGCGCCATCTCAGTTCACTGCAGCCTCTGCCTCCCGGGTTCAAGTGATTCTCCTGCCTCAACCTCCCACGTAGCTGGGATTACAGGCACCTACCACTGCATCCGGCAAATTTTTTTATTTTTAGTAGAGGCGGGGTTTCACTTCTTGGCCAGGCTAATCTCGATCTCCTGACCTAGTGATCCACCTGCCTCACCCTCCCAAAGTGCTGGAATGACAGGTGTGAGCCACCACGTCCGGCCTATGAATATTTTAAATTCTTCCATTTTGTCTCCTGTTGACCTTACTACCTGTATTTCTTTTTCTTTGTTTTATAATTTTTTAGCTATAGCTTCCACTTTTCAGCCTCTACTCTCAAAGAATAGCATACCACTTCTCATGTAGTGTAAGTACCTCACAGTAGTACACTTGGAGCACCACCATTTCCGGTGCTAATGTTGTGTATTTTTCTTACATGTATTTATACACCTCAGCATACATTGTGGTGGGTTTTTTTTTTTTTCCGCTTGCTTTAAATAGCTAATTATCTTTTTTAAAAGACCTTATAAATAAGCTCTTGACCCACATCTTTATCATGTGTGGTGCTCCCCATTCCTTTGTGTAGATTCACTTTTCATTTGGTATTATTTTTTCTCTATCTCAAGAACTGCCTTTAACAGGCCAAGGAAGCTTCTGTTTGAAAGCTTTTATTTTGCCTTTGTTTTAAAAAGATATTTCTGTTTGGAATTTGAGGTTGTTGGTCATTTCTTTCCTGGCCTCCCCAGTTTGTGAGGAGAAACATGTTGTCATCCTTATCTTTGCTCCTGCATGTGTAGGGTGGTGACTCATTTTCCTCTGCTTCTGAGATTGGCGCTTTGTCACTGGTTTTCAGCAATTTGACGGTGATGGACCTCTGTGCTTTGCTTTGTGTTTAGTGTGCTTTGGGTTAATTGAACTTGTAGTGAGTGTGGGCTTATGTGTGTGAGTTTATAGTTTCATCAAATTTAGAAATATTTCAAGTATTTCTTCACATAGTCCTCTTTTTTTCTGGGATGTTAGACATCTTGAGTTTGTCCTACAAATGCTTTGTCCATTTTTTCGGTCTTTTCTGTGCTTCATTTTGGATTATTTAATTAATTTATTTATTTATTTCGAGACAGAGTCTTGCTCTGTTGCCCAGGCCCAGTGCAATGGTACGATCTCGGCTCACTACAACCTCCGCCTCCTGGGTTCAAGTGATTCTCCTGCCTCAGCCTCCCAAGTAGCTGTGATTACAGGTGCCTGCCACCATGCCTGGCTATTTTTTTTTTTTCCGAGATGAAGTTTCGCTCTTGTTGCCCAGTCTGGAGTGCAATGGTGTGATCTCGGCTCACTGCAACCTCTGCCTCCCAGGTTCAAGTGATTCTCCTGCCTCAGCCTCCTGAGTAGCTGGGATTATAGGCATGCGCCACCATACCCAGCTAATTTTGTATTTTTAGTAGGGACGGAGTTTCTCCATGTTGATCAGGGTGGTTTCGAACTCCTGACCTCAGGTAATCCTCCCACGCTCGTTCTCCCAAAGTGCTGGGATTACAGGTGTGAGCTACCGCGCCTGGCCAATTTTTGTATTTTTTAGTAGAGGTGGGGTTTCACCATGTTGGTCAGACTGGTCTTGAACTCCTGACCTCAGGTGATCCACCCACCTTGGCCTCCCAAAGTGCTGGGATTATAGGCGTGAGACACCGTGCCTGGCCTGGATTATTTTTATTGCCTGTGTTCAGGTTTATTGGTATTCTGATCTGCTTAATCTGCCAAGTCTATTTAGTGTATTTTTTTCTTTTATATCTTATTTATCAGCTCTGGAAGTTTCATTTGATTTACTTATTGACATCTTCAGTTTCTCTTCCCATCATGTTTATTTTTCCTTTGTTTCTTGAACATATGGAGTTTCTTTATAATTGCCAATTTTAGATTCTTGACTGTTAGTTGTATCATCTCTGTTTTTTGGGAGATCTGTTTCTTTTTTATTTTTTCGAGATGGAGTCCTCGCTCTGTCACCCAGGCTGGAGTGCAATGGTGCGATCTCGGCTCCCTGCAACCTCTGCCTCCTGGGTTCAAATGATTCTCCTGCTTCAGCCTCCTGAGTAGCTGGGATTACAGGCACGTGCCACCACACCCAGCTAATTTTTGTATTTTTAGTAGAGATGGGGTTTCATCATGTTGGCCAGGCTGCTCTCAAACTCCTGACCTCAGGTGATCTGCCTGCCTCTGCCTCCCAAAGTGCTGGGATTACAGGCGTGAGCCACCACGCCTGGCCTGGGGAATTTATCTCCCTCCCTCCCTCCTTCCCTCCCTTTCTTTCTCTCTCTCTCTTTTTCTTTCTTTTTTGAGATAGTGTCTCTCTCTGTCACCCAGGCTGGAGTGCAGTGGCACGATCTAGCAATGGCACGATCTAGTCTCACTGCAACCCCCCTTCCTCAGTTCAAACGATTCTCCTGCCTTAGCCTCTCGAGTGGCTGGGATTGCAGGCTTGTGCCTCCATGCCTGGCTACATTTTGTATTTTTAGTAGAGACGGGATTTTGCCATCTTGGTCAGGCTGGTCTCGAACTCCTGACCTCAAGTGATCCACTCGCCTCATCCTCTGAAAGTGCTGGGATTACAAGCGTGAGCCACCACACCTGGCCTGGGGGATCTGTTTCTACAGATTGGCTTTTCCTCCTTCTTAAGAGTCATTGTCCTGCTTTTGATTTTGTTACTGGATGGTGGACATTGTGAATTTTACATTGTTAATAGCTGGATTTTGTTATTTTTCTTTTAAATTGTGTTAGACTTGGGTGAAACGTGACTGAGGTTAAATCTGTATATTGTGAGTTCTATAATGGGACACATTTAAGGATTTAATATGTAGTCATCACGTACCCTATTTTAAGACTTACTTTCATCTCATCTCCAGGAAATGTTGCTTTCAAGTTCTTGATTGCTCTTCTGAGTGTACTGCGTTCCAGCCATCATCATAGGTGCTGATGTACCATAGTGAGCGAGTAGATAGGTTGTGGCTCTCATGAACTGATTTTCCAGTGTTGAAGACAGCTAAAAAAACAAGAACGCGAGTAGAACACCGGGATTTCAGATAGCAGTTTAATAGGGATTAACTGGGATGTTTAGGTTGATTGGGAAGCCAGAGCTCAGGAGATGGGCACTGCACCCATAATCAGAACAAGCACGTGTTTAACATAAAGATAATTAACAAGTGGTGGGGTGCGGTGGCTCACGCCTGTAATCAGCACCTTGGGAGGCTGAGGCAGGTGGATCACCTGAGGTCAGGAGTTGGGAGACCAGCCTGGCCAACGTGGTGAAACCCCTGTCTCTACTAAAAATACAGAAATTAGCCAGGCGTGGTGGTGAGCTCCCATAATCCCAGCTACTTGGGGCTGAGACAGGAGAATCATTTGAACCCAGGAGGCGGAGGCTGCAGTGAGCTGAGATCACAGCATTGCACTCCAGCCTGGGCAAGAAGAGTGCAACTCAAAGTAATTAACAAGTAGCAAGAGGTCAGCCACCCAGATCTGTGAAGTGAACCCTAAAGAGTATGGCCAGGGCAGATCTAGGGGGCAGCCACTAATGGGAGCTTAGGGAGGGGACTCGAGAAAGGAACAAACTTGGAAGAGGCCCTGACATGGAGGGGGTATTGTTATGCCCCACTGTGTAGCAGAGAGGCTCCCTGAGGTCCTGCAGGCGCTGGGACTGAGTGCTGGAGAGTGCTTGCCTCTCAGTCCCCTGCACACCACTGACGAGGAGCTGCCTCGGGGTAAGAGCAAGATGAGAAAAGCACAGGAACCTGGAGGGAGACCCCTTCTTCAGTGTCCCTGTAGCACCTTCCACCCACACGACCACAGATTGTACCTACCTGCTGGCAGAGGAGAAATGTTTATAGGGTGCAGCTCCTTTGTTGTAAGTGTGGTGAAGAAGGGTAGATTTGGAGTTGAGAGGCAAAAAAATCAGTTGGCTCAACCAGCCTCCCTGAGTAGGTGATCTTTTTGCTGAGGCCTACCTAATGGGACAGCACTCTACAGTCTACCAGAAGCCAGTCAGAGGCTCATGGGCTAAGGGTACGAGGCAAAGGGAGCGAGGGCAGTGACTTAAAAGCAGAACTTTGACCTGAGCAGCCTTGAAAGCTGTGGTAAGAAATACAGTGTTTGCTCCTAAGTGATAACAGAGGAGCAGTTACAGTGCTCCTCTGTGTTAACAGAGGAGTGATACAGTGTTTGCTCCTAAGGAGAACAGAGGTTTTATGTTGGGAGCTCTGTGATGTCACTCTGCTGCTGCCTGGAGAATGCATGATTAGCAGGTACCTGTGGAAATAAGTGTGCCACTAGAGAGAGGCAGTGCAGCTGTGCAGGCAAGAGGTAGGTAATGATGGCTTAGACTGGGTTAGAAGCAGCGGAGGAAGAATGAGTGGATTGTGGAGGTATTTAGGATTGAGGTGGAGTGGACAACTTTGCTGTTAGATGGCTGTGGGATGGAGGAGACTGTGAACCTTGCTTGTTGAAGGGAACGGACCCGCTTAGGAAACAGCCTCCTCTACCACTGCCCTCTTCTTGTCCTACCATGCCTCATCAATCAGAACCCCATGGCCTTCCAGCCACTTTTGGTATGGGAGTAGCCTCATTTTCAGGTACTCAGGTCCAGTCTACATAAAAACCTAAATATGGCTGAGCGTGTTGGCTCACGCCTATAATCACAGCACTTTTGGAAACGAAGGCAGGTGGATCACTTGAGCTCAGGAGTTTGAGACCAACCTGATCACCATAGTGAAACCCTGTGTCTACCAAAAATACAAAAAGTTAGCCAGGCGTGGTGACGCACGCCTATGGTCCCAGGTGCTCAGGAGGCTGAGGTGAGACGATTGCTTGAGCGTGGGAGGTGGAGGTTGCAGTGAGCCGAGATTGCACCACTGCACTCCAGCCTGGGTGATAGAGCGAGACCCTGTCTCAAAACCCAAAAAAACAAAAACAAAAAAACCTGTATGTCTCATCTAATTAATCCAAAGCCTCTTCCCCTCAAGTTAAGTGGTGGCAGGAGTCCCCATGGGCGGAGGCGGTGGTGTATGTCCTGCCTCCTTATGCCTGCCCAGTTCCTCCAGGATGGAGAAGGGGCTCTGGAGTGGAGACTTGGGGGTCTTTGTTCTCTTCTGGGTTGTCTCGGGTTCTTTTTGGCCCACTAGCACTAGGTCTGTGGTCCTAATGGGTGGCCCAGTGGTTGCTGGCTCTTTCTTGGGGGAGGCTGCTGTAGTGTGCTCAGGCTGCTACAACAAAATACCACGGGCTGGGCTGCTTATAAACAGCGGACATTTATATCTTACAGTCTGGAAGGTTGGAAGGTCTAAGATTAAGGTGCTAGTGATTGGTGCCTGGGGAGGGCTGAGCTTTGGTTCATAGCTGGTGCCCTCTCGCTGTCCTCATGCGGTGGAAGGATGTGGCAGCTCTCTGGGGCCTCCTTTATAAAAGGACATTAATCCCATTCACGAAGACGCCATCCTCATGACCTAATCGCTTCCTAAAGGCCCCACTTCCTGATACATTCCCTTAGGGGTTAAAATTTCAACTTATGAACAGGGTCGGGCGGGAGCACAAACATTCAGAACAGAGCAAAACCTTCTCAGACCTTTGGGCACTTTTGAGACCTCGGTAGGGACTTCATGCTGGACTGTCTGGTTGAGACTCTGTGTGGCACAACCAGCCTGCCCCCCTCCCCCTACCACTGCCATCCCGCACTCTGCCCCCCCTCCCTCGTGGTGTAATTCTGGGGTCAGCTTCCCAGCAGGACCTGTTTGGGGTGGGATTCTTTCAGGATGACACAAGCTCTTGCCCTTCTGTGTGCTGGTGGCAGCTGAGCTAGGTCCCCTGCTGTCTTAATCCTCTGCCCACTTAGCAATGCTCAGGCTCTTCTGCTGCAGGGTCTTTCCTGTGAGGCCTGCCCCAGTGTCTTTGTGTCCCAACTCCACAGCACCCACCACAGGCCCTTGGGAGTTTCCTTGTGCTTGGCTCAGCAGCAGACTGGGGTGGTGCAGGCCTCTGAACAGACCTGGCCAAGTCCAGCCCAGGGTGAGCCCCAGGCTCCTTGCCATAGGCCACCACCTGTCTCTCTGAGGGCTTGTCTCAGTGGCTTCATGCTTGATTGGGGGAGGGGTTAGTAAGGAGAGCACACTTTTCCTTGTGGGAACCAGAGTAGGAATAGTGCAATACTCGTGACTTAGGTGAATTCCTTTCTGGAAGTCTCTCTTGTGACTGTGATTCTCTTCCTCAGGCTGTGGGGATCAGGGGAACGCAATAATTATGGAGCTGGCAGCCCCTATCGTGAGCCTGGGGAAGCCTTTCTAGCACCCTGCATCACCCTGTGGGCACCCTCAGCTCTGAGACCTGTGCCCCTTTTCCCAAGGAGCAGAGTCCTTCTCAGGACCTGTTCTAGAAGGAGCCCCGGTGCCGGATGGGTGGGTGACTGAGCGGGAGGAGGAACCTGAGGTTATGTTGTGTTTCTCTAGTTGTTGTTGGTGAAATCCTTTTGGTGCTTACTGTTGGGCATGGGACATAGGAAAGTCTTTGCCCAGTGTTCTCTCTCTCTTTTTTTTTTTTTTTTTTTTTTGAGACAAAGTCTCTCTCTGTTTCTCAGGCTGGACTGCAGTGGCGCGATCTTGGCTCACTGCAACCTCTGCCTCCCAGGTTCAAGCGATTCTCCTGCCTCAGCCTCCCGAGCAGTTGAGATTACAGGCGAGCACCACCATGCCCGGCTAATTTTTGTATTTTTAGAAGAGATGGGTTTCACCACGTGGGTCAGGCTGGTCTTGAACTCCTGACCTCAGGTGATCTGCCTGCCTCGGCCTCCCAAAGTGCTGGGATTACAGGCCTGAGCCATCGTGCCTGGCCAAGTGTTCTCTGAAGCCTCCTTGTTCCTCAGTCAGAGCAGGCAGTGCAGGCTGTGGGATTCCCCAGGACGGAGAGGCCTCTGCCCCGGCTGCTTGATGCTAGGCTCAGAGAGGTCACTAGGTTTCTACCAAGTGCTGTCTCAGGCGACCGTGGGCATATGTCACTTTCCAGAGGTGCCCACTGAGGTGATCATCATGTGTGATGATTAGGACACTGGGAGTAAAACTGTTCCTTTTTAAATTTAATATCAATTAATTTTTATACTTTAAAAAATTTTTAAATAGAGACGAGGTCTTGCTATGTTACCCAGGCTAGTCTCAAACGTCTGGGCTCTTCAAGTGGTCCTCCCATCTCGGCTTCCCAAAGTGGTGGGATTACAGGTGTGAACCACCATGCCCAGCCGAATTGTTTCCTTTTTGTGTGCATGTGTCTGTGTGACAATGTCTCTGTCATCCAGGCAGAAGTGCAGTGGGGCATGATCACGGCTCACTATAGCCTCAACTTCCCAGGCTCAAATGATCCTCACACCTCAGCCTCCTGGGTAGCTGGGACTACAGGCAGGCTCCGACACGCCCAGCCTGTTTTTTGTATTTCTTGTAGCAGTGGTGTTTCACCATGTTGTCCAGTGATCCACCCACCTCAGACTCCCAAAGTGCTGAGATTACAAATGTGAGCCACTGCATCCAGCCAAGATAGTTTCTTTTCAATGTCTACGTTTTACAGTTTTTAAAAGGCATTTTCCTGAGCAGTTAATAAAAAATTGATGCCTTGAACATTTTAACATAACTGGTCTATTCTGTTCTCTTTTTAAAGCAGAGCCAAGATTTTCTTCTTCACTCCTCGCTTGGTGGCTCCCAGCCGGAGGCCGGCAGTGGTGGGAGGCTCGCTCTGGGTGCACAGACGCTGCCTTCGGACACCGCATGCTCGTGCGAGGCCTGCAGTGAGCGCAGGTATGTGACGTGTGTGCCACGTTGCTCACACCTGTCCACAGTGACATGCAGACCTGCATATTGGAGCTGGACCGAGAAACTGGGCTAATGTGACAGACAGCAACAAGAGTAAGGCAGTTGCTTCGCTATTGTGGGAAAGAACCAGATGAGTAAGACAAAAACTCCCGCTCTTGAGGAACTGGCACTAGGAAGCATCCTCACAACAAGAGGAGGAGTCCTTAAATAATCAGAATCTAAGAGCAGCCTCAGTGAATGAGAGGAGTGAGCGGGGAGAGCCTGACTGGCTGCCGCTGAGTGGCTGAGGGGAGAGCCCAGGAGCTCGTCTTTTTTTTTTTGAGGCGGGGTCTGGCTCTGTCCTCCAGGCTGGAGGGCAGTGGCGTGATCTCGGCTCACCACAACCTCCGCCTTCCAGGCTCAAGTGACTACTCCCACTTCAGTCCCGGTATCTGGGACTACAGGTGCGCACCACCATGTGGAGCTAATTTTTGTATACTTTGTAGAGATGGGGCTTTGCCATGTTGCCCAGGCTGGTCTCAAACTCCTGGACTCAAGCAATTAGTCTGTCTTCACCTCCCAAAGTGCTGGGATTACAGGCATGAGCCACCATGCCAAGCCCGGGAGCAGATCTAAAAATGCTCTGTGCTCTGGCTCAGGAAGGAATGCATGTAGCCAAGTGGGGGTCAAAGGGTGGGGGCAAGGCTGCCCATTAGGTACCTTGGAGGTGAAGGCCAGATCAGCAGTGGGGATGTGGGTACCCTTATTATGGACAGTAGCCACAGATGCTCCTGTCATCTGTGCAGTGGCTAAGCTCTTACGCAGAGTGCACCCTGGGAGTTGTGCTGGGGATGCCATCACCCTGATTGCTGGCTCCTGGGAGCTGGGCAAGGTACAAGAGTCTGGGAGGTCCTCTGAGGACAATGTGCTAGGTGAGGAAGGGCAGCAGATTGTGGTGAGTTTCTAACCTTCCTGTGTTGTCTCACAGAGAAATTTCGGCAGAGGCGGACCGGGAACCTCAGCAGCTGCAGAACTACTGGTCAGAAGTGCGCTACACAGTGCGCTGCATCTACCGCCAGGCAGGGACCCCGCTGGCAGATGACCAGGACCAGTCTCTGGTGCCTGACAAGGAGGGAGTAAAGGAGCTCGTGGATCGGTACATACCACCCCTTCCTGTTTTGGCCCTGTGCAAACCCCTGCCCTGCCCGCTGCGCTTGGAGCCGCTCCTTTCAGGATGGGCTTTCCTTACAGTGCTCAGCTGGGCTTGCTCAGCCTTTGGTGCCTGTTGAGTCTGCAGCAGATGGACTGGCAAAAGCGAGCCCCCTAGGCCAGACATCTTGAATTTTTCTGATTCCGATGAAACGCTATTGCCTGTGT